ATAAAAAAAATACTCTGGCCTTTGCTGAGTCACAAGAAGAAAATACAGAAAAATTTACTTTTCTTTCTTTATTTGCTGCAAGCTGGGAGTTTTTTATAGTTTAGAAAGTGCAAGATGAGTAAAAGAGAGGTGCTAATGCCACTCCTGGAAGGGTGCAGGGTACTCAGGATGCTTTATGGAAGGGTTTTCCTCATGGGAGCTTCCCAGGGGGGAGGGCGAGTCCAGGGATGACTCTGACACAGAAAATGAGGAGTTTCCTCACCCCAGAACTGGCATTTCCCTGTGTTCCCAGCACCCCTGGGCAGCACAAGTGAGGGAAGGAGCAGGAAATCACAGGGTAATTATTGATTACCCTGCTCCCAGCTCCCTTGAAGGCTCCCATTATGTATGAGGTGTTTCATCAATATCCCCTCTTGGATGAATAACATACACCATGCATGGGGAATTTCAGCTGCAGAGCTCTCCTCTCTGGTCTCCATCCTCAGCTCCTCCTCCTGGATCTCTCTGATCCAGAGCTGGGCTCTGCCTCTGGCTTGGAACGTGACAGAACCATGGGGTGGTTTGGGTTGGAAGGGACCTTGAAGTCCATCATGTTCCTGTCCACGGCAGGGTCACCTTCCCCTGTCCCAGCTGCTCCAGCCCCAATGTCCAGCCTGGCCTTGGGCACTGCCAGGGATCCAGGGGCAGCCCCAGCTGCTCTGGCAATTCCATCCCAGCTCCTCCCCACCCTCCCAGGGAACAATTCCTGCCCAAAATCCAATGCAAACTGACCCTCCTTCAGTTTAAAACCATTAATGGCACTTCCAGACCTCTGAGCCCTGACACAGGAATTCACAGCTCATGTGAAGGAACAGGAGGACTGAGCTAGACTGGGGGGAAAAGCTCAGCTTTGTTCCAGGACAAGGACTGGATGGAGGAACTCCACCCTCGGGAATCTAAAGGACTCATCCAGCGAGGAGAGCACAGCAGGCGAGGAGCAGAACCCCAGGGCTGCTGCTCGTCACAGAGTGAAGGAAAACTCTGGTGTGACTCCAATTTCCTCTGCTGCTGTGCTCTAATGAGCCATCTGGCCCACAAACACAGCCACAGTGCCACGGCTGCAGCCACCAAGGGAGGGCAGGGAGTCCAGGAGTCAGCATCGCCTTCCCCACAGTGCCACAGACCCAGAGATCACCCAGAGATCACCCAGAGATCACCCAGAGATCACCCAGAGATCACATCATGCAGAGATCACCCACAGATCACCCAGAGATCACCCAAACATCACCCAGAGATCACCCAGAGATCACCCACACATCACCCACAGATCACCCACAGATCACATCACCCACACATCACCCACCCCAGGCACAGCCCTCAAAATAGTAACAATCCCATTTTTTACAGAGAAAGGGAGCTAATCACCAGGATACATTAAGAGCAATTAATCATTTCCCATTAGGAACGTTCAGGGATTTTTCTGAGATGTCCCACTCAGAGGAGTGCGAAAACCTTTCTCTTTGGGACACAGGTTGTTGAAATTACGTTCCACATTTTCAACTATGTTTAAAAATAAATATATTGGCTGGACATAAACTGGAGAGCTGGTAAGGAGAGAGATCCTGGAGGTGTTGGGAAACCAAATTTTTCCCTTTCCACATCTCCCTGACAGGGAATCAGGTGAGGGTCAGGCTCTGCTCCCAGGGAACAAGGGACAGGATTTGGGGAAATGGCCTCAAACTGTGCAAGGGAGGTTTAGATTGGAGATTAAGGAACATTTCTTCATGGAAAAGCTGTCCAGCCCTGGCACATTCTCTCCAGGGCAGTGGTGGAGTCACCACCCCTGGAAATGTTCAAAAACCAAGTGGATGTGGCACTTGGGGACAAGGATTAGTGGTGAGCACGGTGATGGTGCTGGGAATGGTTGGGCTGGATGATCTCAAAGGTCTTTTCCAACCCTAATGGTTCTGTGATTCCACGATTCTCCTGCCTGCATCAAGATTCAGATTCCACCTTTGCCAATGCCAAGTTAGGAGGGGAATGGTTTGTTTTGTATTTTAACTGCTTTTAAACACATTTCCCCCATTTAACAGTAATTTAGAAAATTAAAGGCACTTTAGAAAAATTTAAGATATAGGAGAAGGCATTGAAACAGCAAATAATATATAGATAATATATAAAAATAATATATAGATAATATATTATATTATATAAAATACAATTTTATTATATTTTAAAATTATATTTAAATTATAATAATATCTATATTATATAAAATAATATAGATATATATTATATTATCTACGTTATTATAAATAATATATAAAAAAATATAAAGAAGATCATCTCTACTTTCTGAATCTGCAAATCTCTCTGCTTTTGTTATGTCAGAGTTGATTGCCACGGTTTTCCTCTCCACAAGGAACTATGTCTTCAAAGCTGGCACAAAAGCAGCTGCAGAGAACTGACCATGAATTGAGAAGTGTTTCATCCCAAAAGCACTCCACACATTTTTTTGTTAGATGAAGAACCTTTTTAATGTGTTTTTTTTTTTTTTTTGGCATAAGCAAAACCCTTCCGGTCCCCAGATGAAGTTAGTGCAGAAAAATAAAATAAAATTTGATATAAGCACTGATTAGGAAGAAATTATGCAACAGTGAGTCCTGATTAAAAAAGCACTTGAGGATGGAACTCGAATCCTCCATCAAAGAGCAATGCTGTACATGGTCACATTTGCAGGGAGGTGGGGAAAGAAGGGTAAAGGTTTTGATGATCAGGGAATCACAGAATTCCAGCCTGGGTTGGGTCAGAGGGATCTTAAAGCTCATCCAGTCCCACCCCTGCCATGGGCAGGGACACCTTCCACTGTCCCAGATTGCTCAGGGCTCCAGAGCTGCTGCTGAACAGAAATGTAAGGAAATCAGAGTGATGAGAAAAAGCCTTTCTGGCTTTGGATCCTGGTGCTCTCACTGATGTTTGTTCTGCGTTTTTAAGCGCCTGGAGAAACGAGCAGGCACTTTCAAATGTAAATGTGTGAAAGTAAATAAATACCAAAGTCCTAATTTAGCAAAACTGCAATTCTGATGTGCAGATAAACTGAAGTGCAATCCATCACCATTTGATTTTTACCTCACCTTTCTCCTAAACAACTTTTACAACCAGATCCTTCCAATTTTTGACATCTATTTCCACACTCCTTCCAACGTAATTTTTTTTCTGTTTTATGAAAGTATCAGTAGGAGAAAGTGACAGAAGAACAGAAATGCTCTCACATCGTTGTGATTTGAGCCAATTAATCCCTCATTAGTGTTTCCATGAGGTAGGTGCCCTCCCCCAATAAAACACACCCACAGCTGGGCCAAGAGCAAACAGCGGAGCTGGATGGAAACATCTGGAATGTGCATGGAGAGGAGAACGCTGCCCTGCAGCCCTGCCCAGCACCCAGCCCGTGCTGCAGGCACCCAGACCCACACCCTGAGCACCAGTGGCACCAGCAGTGCCACCCCTCAGTGCCACAGCTGACAGCCACCAGCCACAGCCCACCCCTGCCACAGCTCCTGCCTGGCTTTTCTGCTTGGATGGTGCTGAAGAACTCTCCTTCCTCTCCCAGGGCTGAACCCCAAAGCTGCAGCTTGAACACAATCAGCAGCGCTTACACCAAGGAATTTCATTCACAAAGCTAAAAAGAATTCAGGAGCCCATCTAGGAAAACTAATGAAAAGAAAAAAAGCATTATTTTAAATGTTTTATAATCTTCTGATGGATAATCTGGGAGGCAGAATTCCCCTGCTGTTGTTCAGAGATGGCAGGAGCAGCAGCAATATTTCCTACCCAGCTTTGCCCATTCACATCCACCTCAATGTTAAAGTTTCCACAACACTGCACTTCACTTTATCCCAACTAATACAAAAGTTCCTCAGCACCACCCTGGAATTTGGCTGTGAAAGATCTGGCACTGGGGAATTTTCATAACATGGGTGTACAGAAGATGCTCACAGAAACAAAGCTCACAGACCCTGAGATTCCCTTATTCACCACAAAATGATGGCATTTGGGACAGGCAAGAAGGCACTGCAAACACCAGATTCTGAGATAATGATTATTATTATTACTGAAGATAATGGGACCCATTTCATTTCAAATGATTCATTTCTGTTATGAGGCCTTCAGGAACACAGTCAATAAATGGAGGAACTTTTCTCAGGTGTTGCTTTCATCTAAATTCATAAATAGCACAACTTGGCAGTAACAAATCTCTTTGTTTAAAACTATCAGTGTGTTATCTATGATAACTCTGAGGAATAAAACCACAGTGACCTTACACAACCTATCCCTGACTGCTGTCCTGGTGCTTTGCTCCTGACAGGGACACAGAACCACAAAATCAGGAGAAGATTGCAACAATCAGGGAATCACTGAGGTTGGAAAATCCCTTTCAGCCCATCAGTTCCAACCATTCCCCAGCACTGCCAAGATCCATGTCCCCAGGTGTCACACCCAAAAGCTTTTCAATGCCCCCAGGGATGGGGACTCCATCACTGCCCAGGGCAGCCTTTTCCTTTTCCAGGAAGGAATTCTCCCAAATCTCCAACCTAAACCTCTGCTGATGCAATGTGAGGCCATTTCCACTCTTCCTTCTTGTTCTCTGTGAGCAGAGCCAGCCCCACCCTGGCTGCCCCCTCCTGTCAGGGAGCTTTAGAGAGTGATGTCAAAGCCTCAACAACCCCCTGCTGGTGGCCAAAAGCTGCTTTAAGTAGCCACCACCTCAGCGAGCAGCTCCCAGCCCTTCAGGTGTGTTCACATCCCAACCTTTCAGTGTCAAGGGTGAGGGAGATGGGAGGCTGATGGCAGAGGACAGGGAGGGTGGCACTGACCTCTCTGCAGCAGGGGGTGGTGGCAGAGGGCAGGGAGGGTGGCACTGACCTCTCTGCAGCAGGGGGTGGTGGCAGAGGGCGGAGAGGGTGGCACTGACCTCTCTGCAGCAGGGGGTGGTGGCAGAGGACAGGGAGGGTGGCACTGACCTCTCTGCAGCAGGGGGTGGTGGAAGGCTGGCAGGGGCAGGCTCCCTGTGGTCTCTGGCTCACTGAAGTAGGCTCGCAGCCAGGCCGTGCACTGCTGCAGGGGCTCCGGCATCTCCTCGCCTCCCTCGCACACCTCGCAAGCCACCGAGGACTCTGCCCTGCTGAGACACACAGAAATGCAAAATTACAGAGGTAAAAATGACAAAAGCAGGCTGGACAGAGCTTTGAACAATCTGGTCCCTTGAGTGGGACAACACGATCTTGAAGGTCCCTTCCAAGTGAAACAACTCTGTGATGCTGTGACAAAACCGAGTATCCACACTCTGTATCAGCAAAATAAAAGTCTCAAAACATTTAATCTGGACTCAGACCTCTTTTCTAGTCAGAGAGAAGTGATGGGATTCCTTGCAGCAGTAACAAAGACTCACCCTCATCACCTCTACCAATGCAAGGATGACCCAGTGTTACAAACACCTGGAAGAAAATCCACGGAAGAGCGGTAAAAGCCATGTGGGAAATGTCAGGGAGCAAGAACACCACCCAGGCCCATGCTGAAGGACACATCCTTGTGCTTCCAGGATGGATGGAGGTGAGGCTCCTCCTCCACATCCCCCGGGGCTGCAGTCCCTTGTCCCCAGGCTCATCCCTGGGGAAGGAGGGAAGGAAGCAGCTCCCTTCCCCGTCCCCGCTTCCTCCAGCGCCGTGGCAGGTCCCTGCTTCCCTCCCCTGATTGAATTGGAAGGAAGCAATTCAGAATTCATTTGATTTTCAATGGCAGCTCGTGCTTGCAGGGGCTGAGAAGCAAAGTGAGCGAACAGAAAGCACCTGTAAATAAAAATGTGCCTCTTCCCATGCTCTTTTTTTTCTTTTTCTTTTCCTCTGGAAGAGCAAGGTGTGGATGAGAGTGATGAAAAAGGGAACCCCGGATTTGCAGCTGCGTTTCCCAAGCTGGATGTTTTCAGGGGTGCAGAGCAGTGATGGGAAAGGGGTGGTGGTGCTCTCCTGGTGCTTCCCAAGGCTGGGGTGTGGTGGGGAGCTCTGAGAACTGCAGAGACTTGTGTGAGGACAGCAACAAACACCCAGCCCATCAGCAGTGCATCCATGAGAAAGGATGGAGACAACACCAAGGCTGATGGCCAGAACAGCAACCCCTGCCAGCAATCTTCTCACATCCAGAGCCCTCACCACCACTGAGGGGCCATCCAAAGGTTTCCTGATTCTTGCAGCTTTTCCCCACCCAGCTGGAAATAAAGCCAGAGCCAAAAGTTCCTCAGTGCTGGACCCCAACAGCAGAGTCCTCTGGTGAGAGGCTGGATGTGCCCCAAAGCAAGGAAATGAAGAGAAAACTCTGGCAATATCAAAATACATGTGAACCTGAGACAAGGGAAGAGAAAAGCAGAGTGATTGTGCCTGCCAGGTACGGGACAGAGCAAACCAACCCCAATTTCTGAGTGTGCTGCGAGGAGGGGAAAGGATTCCCTGAGACTCCTCCGAGCAAAAAGCCAAAGCAAATGAACCAAGTGATGCTCCAGGAATGGCAACAAAGAGCCACGAGGCAGCTCTGCAGACACCCAGCATCTGCAGAGCCTGGCCCAGCACAGGGCTGGGATGCTGGAGAATGAGCAGAGCCCCTGGATGGGCTCAGGGATGTGCCAGGGGTTGGGGCAAGGCCACGCTCAGATGTGGAGCCCTCGCTCACCTGGTGCCTGATCAAACAGCTCTGCTGTTCCCCCAGCCCCAACTCAGCTTCTGATTAATTGTGAGCCACTGGAGGCCTCTCAGTTCCTGATGGGAAAGTGGAGGTGGACAATTAAAACACTCCATGAGTCCATGGCTTGGAACAGAGGCAAAACAAATCTGCACAATCAGCTTTGGATCCAGTTTGGTAGGAGTTAAGTGCAATTTTACTTCTCTTTCCATTTATTTGCCAGATCGATGGTTTTAACTTTCCTTTACGCATGTGAAGTAGGATCAAGTTGCTTTTTAAAATTACTTTACGCTGTTTTTCTGATTAATAATGTCTTTGCTAAAAGAAAAGGTATGAAATTCATGCACAGACCTTTGGACACAAATCCCCATGACATGGACTTCAAACCAAGCTCCCAACACCAGGGATAATCCCTTATTTCACACAGGTTCAACACAGCAGAATACAGCTCTGTTTTACTGCGAATTGTTGGAGCTACAACAAAATAATAATGAGAGAATATAATGACAATAACTCCTCTGAAACCTGGGAGAGAAGTGAGGAGACTTTTCTGCTCCATTTACCCAGAAGAGCAGGAAGAGTGCTCAAAGCTACGGTCTCCTGTTTTTCACATCATCCTGTTTCCCATTCTTGGGAGTCTGGAAATCATTTGGGCTGTAATGGCAGCAGTAAAACAGAAAAACTCCATCTCTTCATGGCTCCAGGAGCAGCAGCTCCGGGCTCTGCCTCCAGCTGCAGACAGGGACCAGCCCAAGGACACCCAACCACCATCAGTCACCCCAAAACAAGGGGGGAGCAGCCAGGGAGACTCTGGGAGCACCTGCCAGAGCCTGAAGGGGCTCCAGGAGAGCTGGAGAGGGACTGGGGACAAGGGGTGGAGGGACAGGACACAGGGAATGGCTCCCAGTGCCAGAGGGCAGGGCTGGATGGGATTTTGGGCAGGAATTGTTCCTGGCAGGGTGGGGAGGAGTTGGGATGGAATTCCCAGAGCAGCTGGGGCTGCCCCTGGATCCCTGGCAGTGCCCAAGGCCAGGCTGGACATTGGGGCTGGAGCAGCTGGGACAGGGGAAGGTGTCCCTGCCATGGCACTGGGTGAGATTTGAGGTTCCATTCCGAGCCAAACCATCACACACACATTCCTCCCTTCTCCAGGTGTTCCCTGGCAGGAGCGTTTGGACAGAATTTCTTTTTAATTTTCTTTTTAATTGCTGCTTTTAATCTCAGTGCCCTGCCACTGCTGAGCATCTCCAGATGTTTTTGGTGGGGCCATTCTCCCAGCACCTCAGCACCAGGGGCTCTCCCAACACCTGCCACCTCCACGGCCACCTCCACCTTTGCCAAGAAAGGGAAGAAATGAATTTGCTTTCCAGGAATGCACTGACTTCTTTTCCTGCAGGACACAAACTCCATGTGCCAACACACACACCCAGAGCTTCAGACTGGCAGGGAGTTGAAAAAAAAGGAAAACCTTCATATTAATTTTGCTTGGCTAGAGATGGCAACCAGGCTATTCCTGGGAATTTGACAGCTTTAATAAAGAAAAAGAAGGCACATAACTCATGCATGGTGTCTTCTGCTGGCCCTTCTCCCCTCCCTGCCCTTCCCTCCTCCCCTTTCCCTTCCCAAACCTGCACAGCAGAACTTCCACAAACTACCTCGGCATTAAATATCCGACTGAAAACACCAGCTGCCTTTTAAAGGATTTTCTCAGGCTTCAAAGCCTTAAGTACCTTTCAAAAAGCAGAGTCAAAGTGCTCTCAAAACATTGGTAAGAGGAGCAGAGGAGTTACATCATGGGAAATTCCCCCCCTGGAAGGAAATCCCTCTGCTCAGTGTCACATTTCTTGGAAGGTTTCTCGACATCCTACTCCAGGCACGGATCTTTGAGCACTTCTGAGTCAAGATGGAAAGGAACAAGTTGGAATTTAGAGAAAAACACACACCTAAGAGTCATATGAACTACCTGGGCCTAAACTTTAGGAATGAAAAAGGAAAAAGGGCCTTTCTTAATGCCCTGGGTGAGCCCCAAGGAAAGGATCACAGAGGCACCAGCAGTGCACAAGGCACTGGCCAAAGTGGCCATTCACTGTTTTAAGTGAAATTTTCTATGGAAAGTTTAAGTCTTAAACTTGTGATCAGCAAAATGCAATTTTAGTTTTATACAGGAAAATAACATAAACGTGTTCACTGAAAAATATAAAACCCCAAACCCGAAATCTGACTGCTTTACTTGCACCCTGGAGGATTTTTTTAATTTTTTCCTTAAAAAGTACCAATGGCTTTTTTTTTTTTTTTAATTTTTTTTTTTGCAGTGGGGCTGGAATCCTGAGAAACATTTATTTAAACCACATTAATATTATATAAATTGCTTCCACTTCCATCAGAGTCTGTCACTGCACTTGTTTTCATTCCCAAATGATGCTGGGTGCTGCCTGGCATCCCAAAAATGACAAAGTGGAGGGTTTTGTAAAAATACAAACAATTGGTCAACAAACAATTATTGCTGCTGGGGTCCAGTGTGCATTTTATATTTTATTTTAATTTAATTTAATTTAATTTTTTATTTTATTTTTATTTTTTATTTATTTTATTTTTATTTTTATTTTTTATTTTATTTTTTATTTTATTTTAAATTTTATTTAATTTTAATTTATTTTTATTTATTTTATTTTTATTTTTATTTTATTTTATATTTTATTTTAAATTTTATTTAATTTTAATTTTAATTTTATTTTATTTTATTTTATTTTATTTTACTTTATTTTATTTTATTTTATTTTATTTTATTTTTAATTTAAATTTAATTTTATTTTATTTTTTTACCTAGATTTTTTTTTGTTTGCAGCAACGTGGTGTCCTCTAATATGTCAGCAGTGTCACATGTCTGTCACGTCTGCCTTAACTTTTGGGGATATTTGGGGTAAATGGATATTTAGCTCCACATGACCAACATGGCTTTACAGGGAGATGTTTCATTAAAATGAAAAACTCCTCAATTAGAAATAAAAGCTCATTTTAAGCTATCTAAAGACATCTAGAAATAAATATATATTTTTTCCAGTTTTATGTGTCTCACTAAGAGCCTTTTTTCTGGCCAGGCACCCCCTGCTGCTGCTGCACATCTCCAGCCCATGGTGGTGACGTCCAAGGGAGCCCCAAATCAACCCCAAGGTGGGAACCCACCCCAGGATCAGGGTTTTCACACAGCACAGCCATTCCACACCATTCCTCCTGCAATCCCATATATTCCTGTCCACCCCAGCCCTTTCCAGAGGCTGCTCAAGCCCAGGGAGCCAGCTCAGAGTCCTCCCAAAGCTCCAGCCCCGCTCCTCCTGTGCCTCCTCACGTTTGCATGGGATGGAAGGAAGGAAAAGCTGGTTTTAGCAGAGGGGGAGGAAAGCAGCAGCACCTGTTTCAGTTTAACAGGCTCCTTCCAAAACCACTGCCAAGAACTGGAAGTTTCTAAGGCGCTTCCAAAATAAACATGTAAGCAGAGGACTGGCTTCGGGATCATCCCAAATAGCTCAACCATGACGAAAAGCAGAGAAATGCTGGGAGAAGCCTGAAGTGGCAGGATGTTTATTATTTATTTCTGAGCTGATTTTTGCCTCAGTCCTTCAGAATCTTAAGGGAAACAAGGTGGACCTTGAGGTGTGCTGAAAGGAACCACAATGACCCTGCTGGCACATTCCCTGAGGGAAAGCCAGGAGCTGCCAGCTTCCTTGGGATAAATAAATACCATGAGAATGCTGCAGCAGCTCCCATAACGTATTTATAAAATAGATGTCTATTTATAAAATATTTGTGTATTTTAAATGAGATTGATTGGTTGAATGTAAGATCCAAATGCCACTTCCACTGGCTGTAGCCACACGCTCCTGAGTGTTTGATCCCTGGAAAACCACCTCCCCTTCCAGTGGTTTGCCTAAGGAGAGGTTTAGAAACTGAGCCAGTGAAGAGTCCCCTTTACCTCAGATTTAAAATTTGCAATGTTTTTCCTCTGTTTAAGATAGAAATGAAAAAATCTCCTCAGCTGAAAAAAAAAGGTTGCAACTCCTCCTAGCCTGGAATCAACAAAATTCCATTGATACATGTGGGCAGACTCAGATTATGTTATTAATTCTAATTTTTTTTAAATTTTAAATTTTTTGTTAATGTTTCATCATTTAAAATTTTGTCATTTTACCTGATTTTAAATTTTTTTTCTGTTTTTTTTTCTTTTGTGATTTTCTTTCCCCATGCTGGGAAGAGCCTGGTGACTGTTGCTGCAGAGCTCCATGAGTATCATTAACATAGATAATTCTGAATATTCATCTAAGTTATAATATAATCATTAATACAATAATATATTATTATTTATCTAAGTAATAATACATATCTAGATATGTAAAATAATGAATAACAGAGCTCCTAAGCCAGAGTAAATTTTTACATTTGCAGAAGTCACTGTTGATCCTCTAGGACCTGAATGGTAACTCTTGCCATGAAATACGTATGAGAAGCCAGAATAATCTTAAAATTATTGTTTTATAAATGGAATTTTTTTGTTTTATCAGCAAATGACTGAAGACAAGTTGTCACATAACTCTCACACTTGTGAATTAATAACAGAAAAAAGTTGCATTATCTGGAAACTGAAGGCTGGCTTTTTCTTATAATTTTATAGATCTGTGCTTACCTTACCAAAGTAATGTTCTCTTAGAGAAATAGCTGGTGTGTTACCTTTCAAATAGAAGAATCAGTGATGATTAGCAGGCAAAAATTAACATTAAAATGGGACTTAGTGAGGCAGCATTATTTCTTCCACAACAACAGAGTGAACAGATATTTATACTGGAGCCTTCATTGTGAAATTAACTAAAAATTTATTTTCTCCACACCTAAATGTCATTTAAGCATCCTTTCTTTGATAGATGAAGGCTAAAGCCACCCCAAAACTGCAGCTGAATTATCTGGTCTCTAATGACTCCAAACCGATTACGGGATGCAGAGCAATCTCGTTAAATTTTATTCCAAAGCCTACTACACTGGTGTTTTCTCTTATTTTTCTATCAATGAAGCCCAGGAGGTTTAAGGACAATTCATTATGTATGAGACCCAACTTACAGTGCTTGACTGTTGATTAATAGCAAAGTTTGCTGGGTGTACATTTGCAGCATTAGATGCATACAATATGCTAACTTATTCTTCCACCCAAGCTAATTATTTACCAAAATGACTACTTGAGACTACAATTTATTAAATGCATGCATCCAGTCTCGATTTGGCCCCAAAAGACAGCCTGGAATGAAGATCTTTTACTTGATGTGACAACTTCTGGAAACAGTGTTATTAATATTGTAAATGTGGCAAATAAAGAGTTCAAATAGCCGGGTGGCTCTGCTGCATTTCTTCCCCACAACTGAATCAAGGAACAAAGCGCTTTTTTAGGTTTAAAATTCATGGGGAAGCACATCCTGACACAGTTTAATTTAGCTGCTTATAAATGAAGTGGCTCTATGATGGGAGGGAGAGATTAAAAAAGGGATGAGAGCTGCAATAAACAGCAATAACCCCCAATTCCTGTTGAGCGGCCCCGACACTGCTCTTTTAAGGCCTATTAAGGAAAAATTGATGCATTTAGGGAAGAATACAAGAAGTCAGGGCTGAGTCAGACTTAGTCCTTGTCATACAACCTGTGCAATGTTCTCCTTATTCTGTTTTTATCTGTGCTGGTGGATGTAAATTCTTATGGATCTGACTGGTGAGATATTCTGCATCCTCTCTTTGGGAAAGAAGCACCTGCACAGAGATTTGTGCATCATATGCATGATATTAGTTCCAAATAAATAATAAAACAAAAAATATATATAATTAATTACACAATATATTAATAGATTAAATTATTGATACATTAACACACCTCCTGAGTGAATACAAAGATATCCAAATAGACTAATTTTTTCCCTGGCTTTTGCAAATAATGACATTAAATCTGGGGGCCAAACTGGGCTTGTCCAAGCCCGTGATCCCTGCAAAGCTGCTCCCTGCTTATTGCCTGCTCCTGGTGTGCACCAGCAAACACTTCAAAGGATGGAGTGAGACTCCTGTCTCCACATGCCAAGATAAGGAAAATCAATGTCAATGCCCAAAAGACTCAAGTGATAGCACTGAAGGTCATTAAATGCTACTCACTGCCCTGGTCCATTAAAGTTTTGATTGGAATCCTATACAGGGAGACACAGATTTCAAACAAGATCCTGCCCTGGGATGTGGCACTGCGAGACCACAGCGGTGACGTCCTGAGGAGCACCTGAAACACATCCAAGGAAAACAATGCTCTGTGTGTGTGGGCTTGGCTCCCTTTCCCTGAGCATTTATTGTGTTTTCACAGCAGTGAATCCCATTAGGAATAAAGATCTCTGTTAAAGCAACAGCCAGGTGGAAGGACAGCCACAAAGTTCTGGTTCTTCAACCACCTCGATCTTCTCCGGTGTGCCCCAGTGCCCTTTGCTGTCTGCTCCATGGTGGCCTCCTTCCCCCAATCTCAGACTGGTTTGGGTTGGAAGGGACATTAAACATAACCTTGTTCCACCCCTGCCACGGGCAGGGACACCTTTCCCTGTCCCAGCTGCTCCTGGCCCCATCCAACCTGGCCTTGGACACATCCAGGGGCAGCCCCAGCTGCTCTGTGCCAGGGTCTCACCACTCTCACAGGAAGAATTTCTCCCCAATATTCCATCCACCCCTGCCCTTTGGCAGTTTGAAGCCATTCCCTTTTTCCTGCCACTCCTGTCCACAGTCCTCTCCTTAGCCCACCTTTGAGGTTCTGCCTTTTCCTGGCCACCACCGCCCTGCTGACCTCCCATGGTCTGGAGCATCCCTGGACTGCTCTGCTGAAGATGTCCTGCTCCACCTCCACGCTTCCATTCCGGTTCTGCTTTCCTCCTGTTTCCCACCCACAGCTTTTCCAGGCTAATTCCTGGTCTCTCTGGATTTCATCCTGTGTGTTTCTACCTCATCTGTGTCAGCAGGAGTCATCCAGGCCAAGACAACCACAGTCAGCTCTGGTGCTCATCAGCACCGGGAGTTCCATCAGCTCAGAGACCTTCCCCAGAGACACCCACTCCTCTCCATGAATGAAACCCTTCAAAGACCAACAGCTGGGCCCTATTGAGAGAGCACAAATACTCCTAATATCAGAGTGACCTCTTCATAAATATTTCCGTTTCAAATCAGTAGGTTTGGCAGCAGAACGACCGGAAATTTTGCCGAAAAGATTAAAAAAAGCCCGATTTCTGTGCATCTTCTGTGCTGGAAAGGACCACCCTGTTCTAGATTGAGAACGGGGGAGATCGAGCACATCCTGAACCAGCAACAACTGAGCAGATGCTTCACATTAAATTAGTTTTAAAGCAGGAAGCAGAACTGGAGCCAAGTTCCAAGCGGCAGCACACTCTGCCCGAGATGTTCGGCAACATTAAGCATAGGTGATATCATCAGTTCTAGCTTTAATTAGGTTAAAAGAAAGTCAGTTAATTTTAGCACTTACAAGAAATTGTTACAAAACATTTTTTTCTTATATAAAAGAAGTGTCCCATCAGACCTGGGAGGTCGGTTTTATCACAGGCAATTAACTGTGTTAGGGCTGGCTGCAGGGGACCCTTAAACCGCTCACGGCGCTCCCTGCGCCGCTGTCCCCGCTGCTGCTGGGGATTCACCGCCATCCCCAGCCCTCTGCAACGGCCACAAACCCACCAGCCCTGCTCAGCACCCTGCCTCGCAGCCATAACCCAATGGCTAACTGCTTTCTGAAGTCAAATTTATACTTTTTCTACATAGATAGATATAATCCAAATTATGCATGGATTTAAAAAAAAAACCAAACCAAAACCACCAAGCCTAAGGGAGTTAAAATACACATTACAACCCTTACACTGCAAGACCCAGGTCTCTGATCTGGTGCACAGGGACACTGAAGGACAAAAACTTAAGGTGAATTATTGGAACTGGGCCCTGACTTTGGATGTCCACCTTGACGTGCGTCAGTGCATGAATTCCAGATGACAGTGAGCACCAAGAATTATAATCAAAAGCACCTGCAGATCCTCCAGCCTATTAAAATGAATTAAGATACAGATAAATCAGGAACCTCTTTAGAATTCAACTCGCTAGGACATTTTTCAAAGCGAGTTCCCAGTGTGGATGTAAAGTCTGTGACCCCTGAGCATCTCCTGTTGAAGTGAGTCCAGAGGCCACAAAGAAGCTCCGTGGCTGGAGCCCTTCTGCTCTGGAGCCAGGCTTGGGAGAGCTGGGGGTGTTCACCTGGAGAAGACTCTGGGGACACCTTAGAGCACCTCATAAAAACTAATATATCCCAATTAAAACAGCATAGTTAATAGAAATCTCCAAAGCCTTTCTGCAGGGCTTTGAGGTTGCTACCACACACATCAGCAGGGTCTCTCCCAAAATGGCATCACCCAGCCAAGGCTGTACCTCTTACCCATTTGGCCTCAACCACAAAAACACAACAGTAGGGAGAACAAGGAATAAAGAGTGTTCTCCTTCATTTGGACCAAGGCTTTCCAGCACTCCTCGTTTGCTCTGGCCAACGCTCCCCAGTGCCTTGGTCACCTCTGGGTGGGCTCTGGCAGGATGGGACCTCCTGCACGAACCAAGAGAGCCCTCCCCTGCCACAGGCCATCCCTGCACCCTCTGCACCCAGGAGGAAAAGCTTTTCTCCCAAGTAACCAAGCAGGACCCAATCACAGGATTGGAAAGCCAGCAGGGCACATCAATAAAACCAATAAAAATACAGTTTCAAAAAGTGCTGTTATAATTAACTGAAATAAGAGTCTATAAACTGCCACCTCAGAAGAAGCTTGTTAAAGGCTGAGCATAGGAACTGTAATTTAAACACACTGTGCCCTTCATGGACCACCCTGGCCACAGCAGGGCTTTTGCTTCTCCCATCTTCCAAAAAATCTCTGGATCCCAGGGGGATGCCTGATGGCTGCATCCAGGAGTTTTGGAATTTCTCTGTGCAGAGATGCTGTCCTGGCATGCAGAGCTGCTGAGACCTTAAAATCACATCTGAACCTCCTTGCAGAGGACAAAGTGGGATCTAGGGAATTACAGCCCTGGCACTGCCACATCAGAATCCTGGAATGGTTTGGGCAGGAAGGGATGTAAAAGCTCATCCAATTCCACCCCAGCCATGGCAGGGACACCTTCCCCTGTCCCAGCTGCTCCAGCCCCAATGTCCAGCCTGGCCTTGGGCACTGCCAGGGATCCAGGGGCAGCCCCAGCTGCTCTGGGCACCTGTGCCAGGGCCTGCCCACCCTCACAGCCAGGAATTCCTTCCTCACATCTCACCAAAATCCACCCTCTTTCTGTTAAATTCATCCCATCCCTCTTGTCCTACCTCATTCCTACTCCCAAACGCCCTGTGATGGGAGAGCTGGTGACAAACCACCCTGCCAAGACGAGACAGACGAAACTGCTTTACACAACTCCATTTGGAATGGGGCAGGGATATTTTCCCAGGCTGCTTTCCCTGCTCTCCCGCTCGAAGCAGAGTGCCTGGAGACCGCTGTCCTCTGAGCTTTAGGTGCATCTGCATTACAACCCCATTAGCTTGTGTACTACACTCATTAATAAATAAGCTCCCCACTTAAGTGCCTTTCTTGTAAATTGGTTTGTTCTGTTCCATATAAATAATATAAATTTCTCTTATCAAATGTGGTGGATTTTTTTCTTTACCTATGTAGAGACACTCCAGCAATTTAACCTAAGAAGGAGTTCATGTAATGCTCTTCCTCAGTGTCCCTCGTCACCAGCCTGTATTTACCATGGCAGCTGCAATATGTTAAATAGTTAGCATAGCAAAAAAATAATGTCTTTAATAACTGGCATAAGTATATTGACCATATGTCAAAAGGAAAAGAAAAAACCCTACTAAATGGATAGTTATTGTAATTGTATTTTAAAACACTGAGGTCATATTTAATTTTGAATCCAAGCTCTTAAAATGCGCTTTCTGGCAAGGACAGAGTAATAACGCCCTTAACAGTAGGAAAAAAAATGTACAATATTATTATTGCAAATCTCTTTTCCAGATTACTAATACTGCCATAAACAAATGGAATGAAAACTTTAATTGTTTTAATCAGAAATATTGTCACTGGCTTGGAAAGCTGCAGCTTGACGCAAAAGGATGATATAATT